GATTCAAAAAGAGTGAACCACAGGGAATTTGTGCCATAGGGACAAACCCTTAATGCAGTTTTTTACGTGGAGGTCCTTGAACGGCTGAGAAAACGCATCATCCGCGTCCGCCCAGCCATCGCCAACTCCTGGCGGCTCCATCACGACAATGTGCCGAGCCACACAGCCTTCCGCGTGGCGATGTACCTGGCCCAACACAACATTGCAACCCTGCCTCAGCTACCCTACAGTCCCGACGTTGCCCCACCAGACTTTTTCCTCTTCCCCCGCCTCAAAACCGCCCTGAAAGGACACCGTCACGGCTCGGTGGAAGCGTTACAACAGGCCGTGACGAGGCAGCTCAACAGCATTCCGGCTGCCGCCTTCCAGGAAGCGTAAGAGGGCTGGAAATCCCACTGCCAGCGGTGTGTGGATGCAGAAGGGTCCTACTTTGAAGAATATTGAGCGCATATATTATTTCTGTCAATAAATATTTTGTAATTGACTCAGTCCGACTACTTTAAGGACAGACCATGTATATGTATAATATAGTATATGTATATTATAGTATAATATAGCACCTGGATGTAATCTTGCGATTCTGCCCAAAAGCCATTAAGTACATGGCAAATTCTTGTCCTTTACAAGAACGACAGTTCCGACGTTGAGGTTCGGTCCGTTCTTGATCCATTTCCTACGTGTCTGAAGCTCGTTCAAATATTCAAGACTCCAATGTTTCCAGAAGTCTTGTCGGACCTTGGCGATGTGCTGCCACGCAGATAATCGGTTAGCTGGAACAGTAGATAAATCGTCTTCCGGAAGGGCGGTTAGCGGTTTACCGATCAAATAGTGAGCGGGAGATAATGCGAGTAAATCGTTCGGGACGGATGATAAGGACATTATAGGACGCGAGTTTAAGATACCTTCGACCTCAACTGTGAATATGTTCAGCTCTTCGAAAGTGAAAAGAGAGTCCCCTACTACACGTTTGACATGGTGTTTGAATATCTTCACCGAGGATTCCCATAAGCCGCCAAAGTGAGGTGCGGCTGGCGGTATGAAATGCGAGAAGCCTTCAATTGCGCACAGTACAATTGGACACGATGCAATTGCACACAGTGCTATTGGACACATAATGTTGCGCACAGTTCTTTTGCGCACCGTTCATTTGGACACAGTTCTTGTGCGCACCGTACAATTGGACACCGTTGCTTTTGGACACAGGTTATCGAAATATAATTTAAAACACACAGACACACGCGTATGCATGTAGAGCCCTGTTTGGAAATTTTGCTAATTTATAAATAATAAATCTTTCTAAATCAGCGTTTGTTCAATTGGACAGTTCTTTTACGCACAGTTCAGTGTCGCACAGTCCAGTGTCGCACAGTCCAGTGTCGCACAGTCCAGTGTAGCACAGTCCAGTGTCGCACAGTTCAGTTTCGCACATTACAGTTTCGCACATGTCTGTTTCGCACAGTTCACTTTCGCACAGTTCAGTTTCGCATAGTTCAGTGTCATTGCACATGTAACAGATACAGGGTGAAGTAATCAAGAATTAGAAAAACAAATTAAGTGAAATCAACTATTTTGTAAAGCAGAATATTCTTGTGTGCATCTACACTGAATTGTGCGAAAGTGAAATGTGCGAAACTGAAATGTGCGACACTGAACTGTGCGACACTGAACTGTGCGACACTGAACTGTGCTTAAAAGAACTGTCCAATTGAACAAACGCTGATTTAGAAAGATTTATTATTTATAAATTAGCAAAATTTCCAAACAGGGCTCTACATGCATACGCGTGTGTCTGTGTGTTTTAAATTATATTTCGATAACCTGTGTTCAAAAGCAACGGTGTCCAATTGTACGGTGCGCACAAGAACTGTGTCCAAATGAACGGTGCGCAAAAGAACTGTGCGCAACATTATGTGCCTAATAGCACTGTGTGCAATTGCATCGTGTCCAATTGTACTGTGCGCAATTGAACCTCTCCCATGAAATGCCAGTTGATGCGTCGCTCGTTAGCGAATCTGTAGACTAGGTCTCTGTGTTTTTGAGAATTGAACAAAGCGTATAACTCCTTCAATTGATTATTCGCGCCTACGAAATTTGTCCCATTGTCGGAGTAGACATTGGTTGGTAAGCCTCGTCTCGCAACAAATCGTCGCAGTGCTGCCAAAAAGCCGTCAGAGGACAAGTCGCTTACAACCTCGAGATGTATAGCCTTAATAGACATACACACAAACACACATATGTATACCTTAATACGATTCCGATTGCGATATTTCTTTTCTTTTATGTGAAAAGGGCCACAAAAATCGATGCCAGTGTTGGCAAATGGTGTTGCTTCGCGTACGCGCACCGCTGGAAGATCTCCCATTTTATATACAGCTGCATCTGCGTTAAATCGATAGCAACGCGTGCAAGTGCGTATTATTTTGCGAACTTGATTTCGAAATTTGTGTCGTAAGATGTATAAGGTCCTCTGAATGCCCGCGTGATGATGTCTTTCGTGAGTTTCGCGAATGATATTATCGATTAAATGATGTCGACTAGATAGTAATATCGGATGTTTTTGTGAAAAGGCTAAGTTCGATTTCTTGAGACGTCCTCCCACACGTAGCAGACCGTCATCATCCAGAAATGGATTTAAGTTCGCGATTCTACCTTTATTTACCTTATTTTTTAGTTCCTTGATCTCGCTAGAAAATTGAGAGGTTTGAAAAATTCTTAATATTCGCCTTTTGGCTTCGTTGATTTCGTTTATATTGTTACGCCCGAGCTCGGATGCGACGCCCTGAGAATGCGCGCCAGCCGCGAGCTGAAGTCGCGGCGGAGTAAAAGATCGGTCGCGAAGGACCGATGCGCGGTTGTTGTATATTGATATTCTGATTTTGTCTCTGAGCTCTTCAAGAGTACAGACGTATGTTCTTTAGCGAATAAAGTTTCCTTGTTGATTTCTTCGCGGCCCGGTGGCGTGCGCCGCGAGCGAAAGTCGAGCCGACGAGTGCGCGAGTGCGCGAGGTGTTGTGTGGACGGCGGAGCCGGACGTAACATTTTGGGGGCTAGTCCGATCGGACGAGTGAAGACGAGCAACGGCTGCCCCGAGGAGGAAAAGAGCTCGAGCGCGTTCTCCCCCAGCGGACGCTGCGGAGCCCGTTATGGAGGCGCAATTCCTACAAGGACTGCTGCAGGAGATAGCGGGATGCGCGAAGATCAGGCGCGAAAGGAAGAAGAACTTCGAGCGACGCTTCGCCAACGGGATGAGGAGCTGCAGCTTTTACGGACCTCCCAGATAAGTCTATCCAATAACAGAGCCGCCGGGGATTTCGAAACGCGAAGCGCAAACGCGGACGCGTTTAGTAACAGTTATCCGCGATCGGAGCTCGGGTTTAAAATAAAGCCCGACACATTCGACGGTACCACTTCGTTGCGAGTTCTTTCACAGTTCGAACTAATCGCGCGTGCGAACTGTTGGGCAGATGCCACAAAGACCGTGGTACTCGCTTCGTGCTTACGAGGGAAGGCGCGTTCGGTTTTAGAGACGGTTGAGGATTTGACTAATCTTGAGTTTTCGGAACTTAAGTCTAAGCTCGAGTTACGTTTCGGAGAGGTATATTTATCCCAAAATTGCTATACGCAATTTGTTAATCGAAAACAGAGATTCGGTGAAGATTTGGCCGCGTACGGTACAGAGTTAGAGAGGCTTTCGCGCCTCGCTTACGCGGAGTGCCCCCACGACGTTCGCGATAAAATTGCTTGTGCACAGTTTGTTTCGGGTGTCTATGATGGTTTTACAAGGCGAACCCTTCAATTGGAAGGAATTTCGTCTTTGAATTTGGCCGTCGAAAGAGCGAAAGTGATTAAAATAATTCAAGGGGGAAGTTTCGAAAGGGGAAAAGGGAATTTTTATGGGAGCGGTGCTATTAAAGAAAGGAAAGCTACAGAGGAAGGGTTGGAGAACGGGAGCGGCAAAAAGTCCTCAATGAAAGAAAAGGAAGGGAACGCTCGAGGGTTGGCGCGAAAAGAAATCCGTCCTACGGACGCAAGTGTTGGTCCTGCGGGAAAGTCGGGCATTTCCGCTCGGAGTGTCCTGTCGCAAAGGAAAACGAGGACTAGTTGACCTCAATGGGGGAGGTCAACTTTTCCGGGAAATTCCCCAAGAAGGGTTTAATGTTAGGGAACGGAGCCCGTGTAAATATAGACACCCTGTATTTTTGTTCAAAAAGTTTTCTGTGTGGTTTTTCTGTTTTAGGTTTAGTAAAATTCCATGCGATGATGAAGTCTCTAAGGAGGAACTCCTAGTGGAGGATCGCTCTAAAAGAAGACTTTCTTTAATAATTAAGAAGACTGCCCTGCCCACGGTTTTTAGAATCGGGGTTTTCCCGTGCGGCCTTTGGGCGAAAGCCGGGGCAGGGACAGGGAGAGCCTGTGTAGTTTCCCCTCCCCTGTCCGAAGAGGGAAGAGTCAAGCGCACAAGACGACTCAGGGAAGAGTCAAGTGCGCAAGAGGAATCAAGTAGGACGTCGTCGAGCGGCATGCGGGTTCCGCAG